CCACTCTTTGAAACGACACTTCGCCATTAAAAATACCTAAATAAGGTGACATTAGTACATGAACACATATATCTCAATATTTCAACACATACATTTTGCACTTACTTCATACTTGTTTGGACACACAAACTCCAACGTATTCTCAGGATTTATCAGAGCACGATCTCCACAATCGCACAGAGTAGGTTCCTCAAGTCGTCTAACTGTGGCTAAGTGCTTCTCCTTAGCCGTCATTGGAGAGGGGGTTAAGGGGAGGTGGAACCCACCGCTCGAAGTGCTCTCGTGGATGTCGCCCTCTCCACCAATCATCGAAAATGAGGTATCTAGGGTCAAACTTGTCTGCACCTCGATCCACCGAAAGAAAAAGCACCTATCATGGGTCTACATAATAAAATTCTAACAAAATATTAGTAACCTAGTAATACAAATGAAGAAAAAAATATACGGAAATAATTACTTACATTAAAACGACTGCATGTGTAGAAGTAACGAGCCGCTGTGTCCGGATGTCTCGATTGAAACACGTCGGTCGGACGACCACAGTCACAGTTAGGGACAGGAAGATCAGGAGGGACATGGGCATATTTGCTAGACTCGTCGGGGTACAATTCTCTAGGACGACTCCGTTTTCACCACAATTGCTCCCGAAACATGTCTTCCATCTAATAAAACGGTTCACATTAAACATCAATCAAAACAACGCAAATTAATGTAAAATATAATTATTTGTATTGCAACTCAAATAATATAGCCAACACTTATAGCAACAAAAATATACATGGTAAATATACTTCTAACTAAATAATTAACCTTAACATCGACAAAATCAAACTAATATCTTCCTCCAAACCATAGTCCATAATTCCCAAACAAAATTTTCCTCCTAACATTAACTTCTATTTATAATATTTCAATCCACCATTCAAACGAAAATAAAAAGTGCGACATTACTTTGAACGAGGCCGAGGAGGGAGGGAGGCGGCTAGGGAATGGAAGGGGAGGGAGGGAGGGAGGCGGCAACAGAGGGCCAGGCGCCGACAGCACTTGGGAGTGGTGGGCAGGCAGGTGCGGCGGGCGCGAAGGCGTGGTGGACAGGCGGTCAGGCGCGGCAGGCAGGCGAGACTGGGCCGCGGGCCTTTAGCCGGCTCTGCCGCGCCACCGATCAGGGCGCGTCACTGCCGCACCAAGATCGGTGACGCGGCAGACCTTGTCATGTTACCGGTCAGCGCCTTGGTCGTCGCCACGTCATCCCTCTCGTCGCGTCACTATGCATGGCGCGGCACAGGCGTTTCGCCGTGCCACGGAAATAGGCGCGGCCAAAAATATTAGTTTTGAAAAAAAACAATGTTAGATTAAAAATTAGTTTAAAAAATTGTTAACAAAAATCACTAAGATAAGGTAAGTTAGCTATCCTGCACCCTGGTCAATGCATCCATGCTGGCTCCATGTCCTTGTAGTGCGGCAGAGGCATCCCAAAGCATGAATGGTCGTCATCATCTCCAACTGACACTGTTGTCTCCGATGAGGTTACACCATCCGTCTTAAAATATAAGTTGTTATGGAATACGTGCAGATCAGATTTTTTCAATTTTAACTAGATTTATAGAAAATACATGCAACATTTATATTTTCAAATAAGTTTATTACGAAAGTATATTCAACGATCTACCTAATGATACTAATTATGTATTATAAATATTAATAATTTTTTATATATATTTAGTCAAAGTTAAAAGTATTTGACTTATCGGGAAACGAGAATGACATATATTTTAGGACGGATGGAGTAATTCAGTTATTATCCCTGCACCCTAGTTCATGCATCACCATCCACGTCTGCCTGCCTAAGGTGGTGTTTAGTTGGTGAGGTGAAAATTTTTGGGTGTCACATTGGATGTGTTGGAAGGATATCGGGAGGGGTTTTTAGATACTAATAAAAAACAAGTTACAGAACCCATCAGGAAACTGCGAGACGAATCTAGGCATTAGCACATGCGGGGTTACTGTAGCACTTAAGGCTTTTCATGGGCTAATTGGGCTTAAAAGATTCGTCTCGCGATTTTCAACCAAACTGTGCAATTAGTTTTTTTTGTCTACATTTAATGCTCCATGCATATGCCGTAAAATTCGATGTGATATTTTAGGATGGAAATTTTTGGAAACTAAAATACGTGCGCGCCATTGCTGTGCCACGGCCTGCCTGCCCTATACCTCACCGACGCTAGCTATGCAGTGCAGATTGCACAGCATGTCACTGTTTCATGCCTGCCTGCCACCACGACCAAACTCGTAGACCCAAAGTCAAACCGGACCGAAGCATGTGGTGGTTTCAATTTTCAAGAGCGCATTTCATTAGGCAGCAGTTAACAACATCGACCGTCGCCGAGTTTGGGGTGTGTTCACACTCTGCATGTACTAAGGCCCAGTTTAGATGCAAATTTTTTTTTTTGTAAAATGAGCACGGTAGCATTTTCGTTGTTATTTGTCAATTAGTGTCCAATCATAGTTTAATTAGGCTTAAAAGATTCGTCTCGTGAATTTTGTTTAAACTGTGTAATTAGTTTTATTTTTTATTTATATTTAATACTTCATGCATGTGTCTAAATATTCGATGTGACGAGAAATCTTGAAAAATTTAACAAAACGAAGTGGAACTAAACAGGGTCTAAATGTTTGCGTTTGTGTTGTATTTTTTTTTAGAGATGGAATGAACCACACAAGGAACGATTTTGGGAGCAGCGAAAGAACAGGGCATTGTCGCTGCAATATGACGACACGAACACGATTTTGGAAATTGGAACGTTTAGCTGAAATTTAGCTTACGTTGATTTATTACCAGAGAAAAATATTATTTTTTATTAAAAAAGTACTGTCGGAGGAGTGTCGCAGAACAAGGCTGATCACTATGCCATCCTCCCATGCCTTTTGCCTTTTTCCTGTTTCCAGTATATTTTTATATATAAATAAACAAATAAAAGAGGAAATCATTGGATCGACCACATTCTTTGGCTGCAATTATTATAAGCCAAAAAAAAAAACAGTCCTTGCGAGTCATGAGCCATGACCCATCATGCATGCATGACCCACGTGCACAGGAACAATCCCAATCACCATGGTTCGTTTTGGACATGTTAGTTTGTGATTGTTGCGCAGGACCTACCGCTGCTACTGCTCGATTTGTCTACCTGCAACCGTGGGCTGTGGCTGCGTTGAGCAACCACACCCTTATTTAAAAGCAGCTCATATAGATTTAAAAATAGTGAATAGTTAGTAGTCCATACACAATTGAGTATATTTTTTAAAAGAAAAACAATACTCCATCTGTCTCTAATTATTTGTTGCTATGGTTTACGTGCTGATCAAAACGTTATTAATTTTGACTAGATTTATAGAAAAAAAATATTAACAACATTTGTATGTCCAAATAAATTTCTTATAAAAATATATTCAATAATCTATCTAATAGTACTAACTATGTAATGTAAATATTAATATTTTTTATATATTTGATTAAAATTAGATTTGTTTGATTTTTCGAAAAGCGAGAAGGGCAGTTAAAAGGGAATGGAGGGAGTAGACTGTTAAAAACAATGATAGAAAGATGCAATATACGAATAGTAATAGCTCTCCTATATACTCTACCTGTCCCAAAATAAGTCTCAATCTTGTAGGAGTCAACCAATTTCAATTTTGACTAGGTTTTAAGAAAATAGTATCAACATTTATATCTCAATTAGGTTTATTACATGACACGATTAATATATGATGCTTATCTGGTATTACAAATATTAATATTTTTTGGCATACATTTGGTCAAAGTAGAGATTGGTTGGCTCCTCAAAATATGAGATAGAGACTTATTTTAGGGCGAAGGGAGTAGTTAAAAATTATCAAACAATGGTTGAAAAAGAGACTTGTCTAGTCTCAACTTGTTTATCAGATCTTCTACTGAGGGTAGTCCCAATGGTGTATTGATGATGGTTTCTATCATCATTTAATGACTTGCCACGTAGGCAAAACGCTGACATGGCAACGTAATTAATGAAGAAATAGAGCAAAAATCCTAGAAATGGTTACCTCATGAAGAAATCAGGTATTCTCTTGACCCAATGCACAATAAACCATGAAATCGCTATTGGGGAGAAACCACCAATTTTTAGGGAGCTTGTGCCGCACTCCTATTGGAGAAAGAAGATAGAGTTGGGAGAGAGAATGAGAAAATAATTATTACTCATAGAAACTATGGGTTGAAAAGCAGTACTTTTTTTTGTGTGGTATCCTATATTATAGAAACTACTAGTTTTTTTCATTGGGACTGTCCTGAGGTCAGGCAAGTGAGAGGTCCTGCATCAAAGTTTGGTGAAAGGAAGGGCAAAGAAACCTGACATCTGATGCGAGATCACCAAACATCCGTCCATGGTTGGAGCACAAATTACACTAGTTTCCTTTCATTTTACAATGATGCATTATCAGTCTATTTACTTATAGTTACTGTAGCAGCTACAGCTCAAGCCCATCATTGCTTTGTGGAAAGAAGATTAGGAAAAGCAGCAGGAAAACGGGGAGAATCAGACGGAGACAGCGCGCGTTCCCTTTTTCTTCCTGAAGAAGTGCGCGTGTGTTGGAATTTTTCAAGGAGGAAGAAGGGAAAGCCACCGCTCACCTTCTCCCTCCACCACCAAACACACGCAGCTAACAGCTTGGTAGGAGGCCAAAAAGGCCTCCCCTTTGGCTTGCTTGCGAGTGGGGTCTCTTCTTCCTCCCCCACCGCCCCTGCCCTCTTCCGCTGACAGCGAGAGATTACGCGACCCATAGCAAGCGGCAGCCACACCACCGCCTCCAGGCTCCCAACACATCCCTGCCATCCCTTTTGACCCTGAGGATCCCATCCCACTAGCTTCCTACTACTTCCCCCGTCCTCTTGATCTCTCTCCCCGTTCCCCTGACCAGCCGAGCGTCAAGTGGCAGGGAGGGAAGGCGGTATCGCGGAGGGAGGATCAATGGGGACGGGGAGCGCGCGGGCGCTGGCCCTGGCGCTCGCCTTGCTTCTCGCCTGCTCCGACATCACCGTCGTCACGGCTCAGGAGACCGAGCGGATCGAAGGTACGCGGCGGCGGCGCGACCCTCTCTCTGCTTCTGTTCCTTTCCATCTTGCTTCTGATCTAGATGAGCGCGTTTGTACGACTCAAGGTGCTCGTTTTCTCTAGGGTCCTTTTTGCCTGTAGTACACATACATACATCTAGTATTTTAATGGGCAAAGCAAGAATCTTGGCATCTATTAGTATGTCGGTTTGATCTGTTAGGCCACTGCATCGTGAATTAATATGCTACTGGGTTACAGATAAGCAGAATGCAGGTCGATCCTTTGGTGTCGTGTTCATAGTTATTTGATCTGGTTCTGGCTTAATTCAGCTAAAACTCACGTTTTTTTTTCGAACATCCAGCTACTGCTCACATACATACCCACTTCAGAGAGCTCCCGCTCTGTGTACATGCTTTAGATTTTTGTGGTTGACCAACTGATGCACTCTGTAGTGTCAGGTAACCCATCAAGCTTGACAAACAGGATCATACTCATGGAGCATTGAATGACACATGATGATAATCATGATTCGTTCAGTTTAACATAGGCGCACAATTCGTTTTAGACATGTAGGTTGCCTAGCTAGCATACCGTTGCTTCAGTGGATTTCTTAGCTAGGTATACTCTTTTCCCCACTTTTATGCTAGCCCTAATGCTGTGGCCTACAAAATGCAGGAAGCGCTGGTGATGTGTTGGAAGATAACCCTGTTGGGAGGCTCAAGGTCTATGTCTATGATCTCCCCAGCAAATACAACAAGAAGCTGCTGAAGAAGGATCCTAGGTGCCTGAACCACATGTTTGCCGCTGAGATCTTCATGCACCGGTTCCTGTTGTCAAGCGCTGTCCGAACTTTTAATCCTGAGGAAGCAGATTGGTTCTACACACCCGTATACACAACATGCGATCTGACCCCCAAGGGCCTTCCCTTGCCTTTCAAGTCTCCTCGAATGATGCGTAGCGCAATCCAGCTGATTGCTATGAATTGGCCTTACTGGAATAGATCAGAAGGCGCTGATCATTTCTTTGTCACACCCCATGACTTTGGTGCTTGCTTTCATTATCAGGTACAACGCTAGTAGATTAATTGAGTAGCGGTTGCATGCATTTATTTATCCTTCTACTAATACTAATGAAGGTTAGATGTTCAGCATTCAGCAATGATAGTTTAGTAGTGCGTTGTGCCAAAACTAATGGGACATATGTCTAATTTTGGCAGTAAACATGGGGGCGATAGGGGTATCAAGATGCTTGTATCAACATGAATGAACTACTCTAACTTAATTGGTTCAGGCTCCACACGTTCTTTGCCCCTTGTAGAAGAAACATGCCCCGGATTTTAGTTTACTTAGATATCATTCTGATATCCATATTCATGTTCACTAACCACCTAGTTAAAATAACCACTTACTACACTTCCAATTGATTACTGTTACTGTGTTTCAATATCTTGATGTTTCTGTAATAACTAATAAGCACTTCCACTGTATCAGGAAGAGAAAGCAATCGGACGGGGAATCCTTCCCTTGCTTCAGCGTGCTACGCTGGTTCAGACCTTTGGACAGAAGAACCATGTCTGCCTGAAGGATGGTTCCATCACCATCCCACCATATGCTCCTCCTCAGAAAATGCAGACTCACCTTATCCCCGCAGACACCCCTCGATCCATCTTTGTGTATTTCCGAGGTCTGTTCTATGACACCGGCAATGATCCCGAGGGCGGTTACTATGCAAGGTAGTTCATCTATATCTGTGTACAAGCAATGCAATTGACACCTCGCTCGTTTTCCATCCTCTCATTGCTTCCTGGGTCTACTCTCTGATGACATTGCCTGTTCTACAGAGGTGCTCGTGCATCAGTCTGGGAGAACTTCAAGAACAACCCGCTATTTGACATCTCGACCGATCACCCACCAACATACTATGAAGACATGCAGCGTTCAGTGTTCTGTCTGTGCCCATTGGGCTGGGCACCATGGAGTCCTAGGCTAGTGGAAGCGGTGGTCTTTGGCTGCATCCCGGTGATCATCGCAGATGACATCGTCCTTCCTTTATGGACGCCATCCCATGGGAGGATATTGGTGTTTTCGTTGCTGAGGAGGATGTCCCGCAACTGGACAGCATCCTGACATCCATTCCCACAGATGTCGTACTGAGGAAGCAACGGCTCCTTGCGAACCCGTCGATGAAGCAGGCCATGCTGTTCCCCCAGCCTGCTCAGCCAGGAGATGCATTCCACCAGATTCTTAATGGTCTCGCGCGCAAGCTCCCGCACGGTAGCAATGTCTTCCTGAAGCCCAGTGAGAAGGTCCTGAACTGGACCGCTGGACCACCTGGCGACTTGAAGCCTTGGTAGCATCTTGTGGAACTGAGATGGATGTGACTTCTTCGGAAAGGAAGTATCGAGAACATGATTATATATACCTGTGCCTTTGAATTACAATGGGTGCACATAGTGCTGACCACAAGCCAAATGTACATTTTTTGTATGTTTTTTTTCTTCTATAACTGTTATATATGTCTTCATTTCTTTTTTCCCCTTTCTCATTCACTAGATGATATAAGAGTGCCAAGCCCTGTCGACCATACGTGGATATATCATAAATGAAATTTATAAGATTGTACTACTCATGCTGATTGTTGATCTCATTTCATTATCCTACTGCACTGCAGTTGCCATACTTTTCATTGTGTTTTTTCAGTTGGAACAGTGTTTTTCTCTCACAACAAATCAGCCAGAGCAGTGTTTCGGCTTGTTTTTTCAGCAAAGCGAACGGGGCCTATCTGGAGCAAGATCCTCATAGGGAAGGCTGTCCGATCTGCTGATCAGGCAGCACGTCAACTTCGGTCTTTTAACTGAATGTTGCTGAGTTCTCAAGGAATGTTGGTGCAAATTGCGATTGCTCCTGTGATGTGAGTGCAGTAACCTAGAGAACGATTGCTGGTTGGTGGTGCAAAGATGGTGGTGGTAGATAGGTTAGGAAATGAGGTCAACATCAGGACCTGCACTTAGTTGGGATGTCACCCCCGAACTGAAATGGTAACTGATGGCAGTTCAGAAATGTATCTTAGAAAGGTCGCCTGTTGTGTACTTGGGTCTGGTGCTATGTTCCTAAATGGCCACAAACATTGGAAATGGTAGGAGTTTGTATTTTTTTTTTAAAAAAAACTTCAGTAAGGCGTGGTGACTGGTTCGTGAGGTCAACGAAAGGAGTGAGAAGGTTGAAAAAAAATTATGGCGTGCCATGATCTACCTAACTGGCTGGAGAAGACGACGAAAACGACCACCTAACACTAGGTAGATCAGACGATCCAAGTCAAATATAGTAGGTAACGAGGAGAAAAAAAGATTTTTTTTAAAGGAAAAAATTTAAAAAGATGGCATGAAGTGTGACCTAAGCAAAGCGAAACAATGTTGCAAAAAAGGAGGAGGCAGTGCCAGCAATATTCTAGTACTACCACTTTCCTGGAATTTTATTTATTTATTTTTCAAGGACAAAACCACTGCTGGAGTGCTGGTAGCCGGTAGGAGTTGTAGTACATGGGAATGCAAAAAAGTCGTCATCTTGCAAACAAACACAGGGAACCTGGCAGGCACCCACCACCTCCGCCGACAGCGAGCACGGTCACCAGCCCACCACCAACACCATCACCCCTGCCATACTCGCTTTGACTCTGCGGCCGGGCGCCTAGTCTATTCTCTCTGCCTGCCAAGAACGCCGCCAGTTGCCTACCACCTCTCCCGGACTACCTCTCCCGGACTCCGCGTTAAGCCTGAGCAACTGCCGAGAGTGGAGGGAAGGGAAGGCAGGCGCTCAGGCTAATGGGGACGGGGAGCGCGACGGCGCAGGCGCTGGTGCTCGCCGCCTTGCTCCTCGCCTGCTCCGACGTCGCCGTCGTCGTGGCGCAGGAGACAGAGAGGATCCAAGGTACGCGGCCTCGCCCTTGCTTACTTCGTCGTCCTCTGCTTCTCTTTGATCCGATCAGTGAATTATGCGTTGCCTGCGGTTGGGTGTTGATCTGGGTAATCCGTGCTTGTCTCCCGCGTTTCTGCTGGCCGGAGTGGATCTGATGTCGCGCGACGAATCCTGCGAGGTCTTGGGAAGGCGAGCGGGCGCGTAGTTGGCGAGATAGATTAGGTGTTACTGACAGAGATGCTTCCACGCTTTCTTTGTTAATCCATGAACGAACTAGGTGCTCCCATTTCGACTCAGTGAAGCGGTCAGCGTGCACAAGGAATTGTTTCATCCTGGAAATTGAAGGAACAGAATTGAAATCCTGAGATCAGACCTGCCATTGCTGTTTGATGCATCTGCAATGGATCATGATCCTACCTTGTCTGTGCTCCAAATGACAAACTCGATTACCTCAAATTTGTCATTTTCCTATGAATTCAAAAACGAGTTTGCACTCGCAACTAAAAAAATCCGAGCCACTGAATTGTGTTTTTTGAATTCATCTCTATCTTTCCACCTAAGATATGGTTTCCGGTACATGTTTTGCCTACTAACTACACTTATTACTTATCGGCTTCATAGAACTGTCAGGGATCCTTCAAACTCTTAATTGATGTGATATTTAGCTGCACCCTGACCCTACTAAAAGAGTTCTGCATAACTTGCTTGTGTGCCTACTTGCTGTATAGTTTCAGTTATGCTTTGCCTGAAAAAAAAATACTTTCACAAAACTGTTAGACTCCATTGTATTAGGATCATGGTTTTTTTGCTCGAATAGGCAAGATATCTGTGTACCATTGCATTAAGAAGAAGAACAGAGTTTACGATACCCCCAAAACACACACACCTCAGCTAGAAGCAATTACATTTGCGCTTCTTATGACAACGCACAAACATGACCAGCCAATCTATTTATGAGCCAGGACCTCCAAATGAATAAAACCTCAGCTAGACACCAGAGATGGACTTCCTCGGTGATTTTTCTAAGAATTACCTGTATACTAGTGTTGGCTCCATTGAACACCGCGTTATTTCAATGTTTCCATAGAGACCAAGCGGCCAAAATAATCAGAGTTAAGGCCTCGCTTGAGAGCTCTGGGGATCAAGCCATTTACCATCAGCCACCACTCAGAACATCATTGTATTGATCATGGTATTAAGGTGCATAATCCTCATTTTTTTAGTGTGGATCTGATTAAATTTCAGGAAGTGCTGGTGATGTGCTTGAAGATGATCCTGTTGGAAGGCTCAAGGTATATGTCTATGAGTTGCCCCCCAAGTACAACAAGAACATACTGGCAAAAGATTCGCGATGCCTCAGCCACATGTTTGCTACAGAGATATTCATGCATCGCTTCCTATTGACGAGCGCGGTCCGGACTTTGAATCCGGACGAAGCTGATTGGTTCTATACTCCAGTATACACAACCTGCGACCTTACACCTTGGGGTCATCCCTTGACTACGAAGTCTCCACGAATGATGAGAAGTGCGATTCAGTATATTTCAAAGCGTTGGCCCTACTGGAACAGGACGGAGGGAGCAGACCATTTCTTTGTCACGCCGCATGACTTTGGAGCATGCTTCTATTTCCAGGTGAGTCACAGAGCCATAAACCATGAATGAATACCAATGCAACTAGGAATGCAAAGTCATAAAATCGAATTCCAGCCTAGTCATTTCCCCATATATACACAGCATCTGTTCTAGCATCATCCACATACCGTGTACTAAAAATTCCTACTGTCCTACTGTTAAGGAAGAGACGGCCATCCAGCGAGGTGTCCTTCCGGTGCTGCGCCGTGCTACGCTGGTCCAGACTTTTGGGCAGAAGAATCATGCGTGCCTCAAGGAAGGCTCCATCACCATCCCACCGTATGCTCCTCCTCATAAGATGAGAACTCACATTGTTCCACCAGAGACCCCTCGGTCAATCTTTGTCTACTTCCGTGGTCTGTTCTATGATACTGCAAATGATCCCGAGGGCGGTTACTATGCAAGGTACGCACCTAAACAATGTACCTGACAAGGAGTCTTATTAGTGAATGAATCATTGATTCGAAAGTCTTGACGCACCTCCTACCGTGTGTATGCAATGCAGGGGCGCCCGTGCGTCAGTATGGGAGAACTTCAAGAACAACGCTCTGTTCGACATCTCGACAGAGCACCCACCAACCTACTACGAGGACATGCAGCGCGCCATCTTCTGCCTGTGCCCACTGGGGTGGGCGCCATGGAGCCCCCGCCTGGTGGAGGCCGTGGTGTTCGGCTGCATCCCCGTGATCATCGCCGACGACATCGTGCTCCCCTTCGCGGACGCGATCCCGTGGGAGGAGATCGGCGTGTTCGTGGCCGAGGACGACATCCTGAAGCTGGACACCATCCTGACGTCCATACCCATGGAGGAGATCCTCCGCAAGCAGCGGCTGCTGGCGAACCCATCGATGAAGCAGGCGATGCTGTTCCCGCAGCCCGCGGAGCCGAGGGACGCGTTCCACCAGGTGCTCAACGGGCTGGCGCGGAAGCTGCCCCACGGCAAGGGCGTGTTCCTCAAGCCCGGGCAGAAGGTGCTCAACTGGACCGAGGGGACCCGGGATGACCTCAAGCCGTGGTAGGTGTATAGTATAGTTAGTGGCGACTGGTGAGGTGAGGCACCGTCACCATTCGGCGTGGCTGGTGCTCTTTTGTAAACGACACAACCGGATGAGAGGCTGATCGATGATGGTGATGCTGATGAGTGAACCACACAACCATTGATTAAATGTAAAGCTCTTCTCTTGCTCCTCCAACCATTCTTCTTTCTGAGGCAATGAAGGTCCTAGATTCGAGGATATATAGGCCGGAAGGTCCCAGTCACGGTCTCCTCGTACTGCCCAAACGAGCGTAAAGCTTGTCACTGGCATGCTTCTACAGATCCCGTTTAGAGCGAAAGCTTTTTACTCAGAGTACGCACTTTATATATATATTATAGGAAAAAGTCTACTTAACCTCTCCACCTTTCATACTTGGTCTACTTCACCCCCAACTATGAAACCGTCAGTTTTACCCCCTGAATTTTCCAAAACCGTCTATTTTACCCATCGGATGGTTTTTGATAGCGGTTTGCTACAGTAACATCGGGTTTGTTACAGTAACGGTGGGTTTGCTATAGTGCCGGTGGGTTTGAATTTTTTTTTAATTTATTTTCGGTGAATTTTTGAAAAATCATAGTAAATCATAAAATGAAAAATCTAATTTTATTGGACTCCACGTGAGTAGATCTACACAATGAATATATAATACGGTATGCTTTAGTATAATTTTTTTAGCTTTAAATTAATTGAAAAATCTAATTTTTTCTATAATTAATTAGAATTTATCTATAACTAAGTTATACATAATCCAATGAGTACGAAATTTTTACTATAGTTCAAGCATACAATAATTAGCGTACCATAAAATTTCACCATAATTGGACCATAGAAGCTGCAGCTATGAATTATTCCAATTAATTACAGACAAAATTAAATTTTCCAATTAATCTAAGGCTACAGTAAAAAATTTGTCAGCGGTAAAAAAAACCACGCGGGGGTAAAATAGACAGTTTTGAAAAGTTCAGAGGGTAAAACAGACGGTTTCATAGTTAGGGGTGAAATAGACCAAGTATGAAAAGTGGGAGATTAAATATATTTTTTCCATATATTATATATATACCCTCCGTCTCCACGATAAAAGCAAATCCAGGTCAGATTTAGTTGCCCCGAATGGGCGCCGACATTACAAGATTGCCCCTGCCTATATAATACGATAAAAGCAAATTTTGTTTTTATTGGATATTAATTGTTCGATCGCGGACTAATTAGGCTCAAAATATTTGTCTTACAAAGTACAACCAAACTTAGTTTTTGATTTCGTCAATATTTAGTACTTCATGCATGTACCCCAAGTTTGATGTGACTGAGAATCTTCTTTTTAATAGTGTCAAAGTTAGAAATTTGGTACAACTAAACATGTCCCAGGTTTGGGCACGCAAACCAACGCAAGCTGCCAAATTACAAGATTGCCCCTGCCTCTGTAAAAATCAGCGGCTTCCTTTCTTCCCATCCCCGCCGGCGCTGGTACTTCCACCGGCGGACCCAGCGCCTCCGCGCCCCTTCGCGCGCGCCTGCCACCGCCGCGCAGCCGACCGGCCCGGCTGACCCAGGCTCCCGTGGCCGGAGCCCCGCCCCTCCCGTGCGCGTTTGGAGCACGGCCGCCCGCCCGCCGGAGCCGCTCGGGCACCGCCCGTACGGGCCAGCGCACCTCGTGCCTGGGGCCTATGCGCAGCGTGGGACCTGCGCCGCGCCGGCCGGCCGACGGCCCGGCCCTCTCCCTCCCCATGCGCGCGAGCTCACTGCAGCAGGCCATCTCCATGTCCAGAGGAAGAAGGCAGAGGTAGAAGACAACGGCGGCGCCCTCGCCTTCCCCACGACTTGGCTGAGGCTCTCACCACCGTCGCGCCTCCTCACGAGCGCGCTCCGCCCGCAACGGCAGTCGGGCCCCGCCTCCGTCTTCCACGTCGACCGGGACGAGCTCCAGGATGCCGCCGCGGGGCTTCATGAGAGCGCCAGCACTTTGGATGCAGTTATGCGAATGAGCCGATGAGGAACATGTGCGGCGGTGGCTAGCGGAATGCCCAGAGTCGAGACTCGAGAACCGTCGAGAGTCTAGACGAAGAAGGACAAGATAAAGCTGGGCATCTATTTTTCTCTATTTTTAATAACAAATCGATGAAGACCAGCCGGCTGATCCTCGGTAAACACTATTTATCAACCAGCCATTATATGTTATTCTCTCTCATAAAATCAGCCAATTTTAGCAAGTTTTAAACCACCGATCGGGGCACTGAGTGGTCTGAAAGAGTTGGGTGCTCTGTTTCTTCTGTTTTTTTTCGGTTATCATCACAGCTGTTTCTCCATCGGACAATGCCTCAGTCTGACTGTTCTTGTGAGAATATTAAGCAATTGTAGTAACAATTTAATCCGAAAAAAAAGACATAAAACAATATGAATATGTTGGTGACGTCATATATGTACTTGTGTGTTTTAAACGTGATGAGCATGCGAGATGATACTCAAACTAATGATTGATAGCTAAGACATTAAGAGGTTTGTTCCATAGACATACCCAGCGCCAGAGCCGGATGCACTCGAAGACATAGTGCTTGTCCATGCAATGCAGATGAGAAGTCGTGCCGACCACCAGCGATCCTCCAGGAAGTAGAGGACAGCGAGTAGTCGTGCCGTTAATGACACTCCCCAAAAACGTGATTGCCGCCCTTCACCCGAGCATGCGAACTCAAAGACGGCAGACGTTTCGGAGGCCTACTCTCCCAGCTCCAAGTCTTGGCAGAGGAACCGAAGCAGGAAGAACCAGAGAGCAACTGAATATGTGGTGTCTTAGAAGCGAAGAAGAATGACCGACAGAGGAGCTGGTATTATATGCTCACGGCCAGAAAAATGAATGAGCTCAGGAGATCAAAGGACGGAGAAGGCATGCGGACGCAGAAGGACAGAGACGACAGTAACAGACGAAACTCCCGCAATGAAGCCGCCATCAACATAAAAAAAAGTAACTCCCGTAATTATGTGGATTGAGTGGCAAAATCACTCCCATCCGCTCGTTGTGCCATGCCGCACCCACGGCCCGGGCCGACCAGCAGCGGCGCGCGCGTGTGGCACACCAACGTCCTTTTCTCAGCTTCTCAATATATATAGACAATATCCAACCATATAAACTGAGTCAACGTCTAGTCAAAATTCTGTACAATATTAAACCATACATCGCGCATTATTACGGGTCATAGAGTTTATTTGATTTATTAAATATTATATGGCCAAGCCTATAATATATCCAATAATCCCCACCAAACTCTAGGGTTCATAGTAAAATAGTCTTAAAATCACATTTCTTTGATATACCAGAGTTTATATGGAGACCGTTAAATTGAACATCCATCTAGAGCTGTAGTTACACTCAGTCATAACTGAATAATGGACTATGGCTTAGAATTGACAGTTTTGTGTGAGGTGAATTTCACTAAAGTTCTTATTTGATACTAGGCTGCAACAAACATCTCCTCTATTTGAAGCATATAAGTCACACTTCTAGGCCTTTCATGAGTATATAGAGATTACCCACATCTCATAGATTATGACTAGCATTCAAACTCATATAGGTGTATTTTTTCTAGGATGTTCTGTAGGACAACATCCCTGCTTAAGTAAGCCACTCGGATCACATTAAGGAATTAACCATCCTGTCATACAACATTGGAGAAACAGTGCATCTCAAACGATTCAGACTTTAACATAAGGGGTCTCTCCCTCAGTCAACCACTAGCTTGTTTCACCATTCTACTTCATGGGATCTCCGATCACATAGGACATGTTACCACTATGGAATGACTTCAAGTGGGTCTCAAGCCCAATTCCCTCGATGCACCTTCAATCATATTGCGTGACAGACCCTTTGTGAACTGATCTGTCAGATTCTTAGATGTATGGACATAGTCCAACACAATTACTCCGGAGTTTCTCGGCTTTTCGACTGATTTTAATCGCTTTTCACATGCCTTGTAGACTTCATGTTGTCCCTAGAACACATTTACTTTGATTATCACCGTTTGGTTATCATAGTTCATGGAGATAATCGATATCGGTTTTTCAACTATCGATAAACCCATTAGGAGTTCACGAAACCACTTGGCCTCGGCGTCGGTGGTGTCTAATGTGTGAGTTCTGCTTCCATTGTAGACTTCGTTAAACAGTGCTCGCTTGCAAGACTTTTAGGAAACAAATGCCACCTCCAAGCAAGAACGTGTATCCGTTTGTGGCATAAAGCTCATCGTTATCGGCTATCCAGCTTAGCATCACTATAACCCTCCAATTACCTTTGGGTACCAGGGCAGATAGTGAATGGCATAGCTCATAGTTCCCTTCGTGTAGCGCAACACCCTCTCAAGAGCATGCCAATGTGTATCTCTCAGATTTGAAACAAACCGTCTAAGCTTGCTCACAACAAACGAGGTATCAGGCCTTGTTGCACTAGCCAAATACATAAGTGAGCGAATAATTTGAGAATATCTCAATTAATCCCGTGCTATTTTGTGATTTTTCCTTAATAGCACACTTGGGTCATAGGGAGTTGGAGAAGACGTGCAATCACTATATCCAAAGCAATTTAGTACCATTTTTACATAATGGAATTGCACTTGTGTTATCCCACCATTTCCTTCTCTTAGTAGCTTTATCTTAAAAATTATAACATCAGACTCACCCAAGTCTTTCATCTCAAAATTAATAGACAAAAAGTCTTTCACTTCCTTGATCATATTAATATTATTTCCAAAGATTAAAATATCATCCACATACAAGCACAAAATTACACCTTCTCCCCCACCATAGCTTAGGCATAATAGACACGTTTATCAGCTTCATTCATAGCAAAGCCAGCTGATGTCAAAGTTTTGTCAAACTTCTTATGCCACTGCTTAGGAGCTTGCTTTAGGCCATACAAAGATTTTAACAATTTACAAACCTTATCCTCTTGACCTTTTGCTACAAATCCATCAGACTGATACATATAGATTTTTTCT